GGGCTGGAGCTGGGGCAGGGATGGAATTTTTGGGAAAGGTTTTTTTTACCCCCTAGAGGGGTTAGGATACTAACCCAGGGAATGGGCACAGCCTCCAGGCTGCCAGAGCTCCAGGGCACTCCCAGGGATGCCCAGGCTGGGATTTTGGGGTGTCTGTGCCAGGCCAGGAGCTGCCCTGGATGATCCTTGTCCTTTCCAGCTCGGGATATTCTGAGATGCGTTTGGGGTTGCTGTGGAAGCGCTGAGCTCGCGTGGATTTGAGGATTTGCAGCGCAGGGAAGCGATGCCCGAGGGAAGGGCTGGAGCTGGGGCAGGGATGGATTTTTTGGGAAAGGTTTTTCCCCCCCCGAGGCACAGCCCAGAGCTCCAGGAGCACTCCCAGGGATGCCCGGGGTGGCACTTTGGGGGTGTCTGTGCTCGGGGTGACATTTTGGGGTGTCTGTACAAATCCAGGAGCTGCTCTGGATGATCCTTGTGAGTCTTTTCCAGCTCAGGATATTCTGTGATTCCCTGGTATCTCAAAGGAGGTGGCAAAGAGTGATCTCGTGATTTGTCTTTCCCACGGTGCTCTTCCAATGCTTTGGGATTTCCTCATTCTCCAGTAACTGGTTGTAGTTTTATTCCCAGGATGAGCCTGGTCTGGGGTGTGGATGTTGGGTATTTGGGCTAATTTAACTAAAAAGTACAAATTAATTATGATTATTATACATCTATCCATTCAGAGATGACAGCGTTTGTATTTAAGTGATATGCAGAATTTAAAATACAAACGGAAGCCAGGAGTGCTTTGCTGAGTAGGGGAGTGGCTCAGTGATGGGGACACTTCAGTGTTGGTCATTTCCCCTGCCAGCTCTGGAGATTTGCTCCAGGTAAGGAAAAGGTGCTGTCTTTAAAAGCAGAGCCTCTTGAGCTTGCTGCAATTTTTTTTTTTTGCAAGAGTTTAAAAACTAAAAATAAAAAGAATTCAAAGAAAACACCTGTGTCCAGTCCTGCAGTGCTGTGAGTGGTCTGCCTGCTCTCACCCTCAGCTGGCAGGAAAATGAAACACCAAAGTCCAGCAGGTTGTTAGGAGCACAAAACCTGGTGGCAGGATAGAGCAGAATCCCTTATCTCCCTGCATTTAATAACCCTTCCAGGGCAAAAAAAAGTAAATATTCAGTGGTTGCTGCATTATATTGCTTTGCTGACTAGAGAACTCTGCTAATAGATTTAAATCCATTAATAAATTAATGCTGGAATGAAGTTTTTTCTGCTTGTCTTAGTTGGTTTTTGGTAAAAATGGAAGCCTGGTGAAAGGTTCTTCATCAGAGTGAGGTTTAGTGGTGGGAAACTTTTCCTCTGGTCAGTGTTATTTGAATTAATTGGTGATTTCTGGTGAATATTTGTGCACCTAAAGCAGTGAACTTCATAAAATCCATCCTACATCACAAAGTTTTTAACTCCACTTGTTGAGAAAATTTGACCTGAGGCTGAGTGTGGTTGTTAAAATCAAGTTATTTCAAATCAAGTAGTAATAAATTCCTGGTATTTACAGTGCCTGGCACTGAGAGCCAGGTACTCCTGCACAATTCCATTTCTCCTGGGTGGGTAATAATGGAGTTTTTAGTGATGTTAGAAAAAAAGGCAAAGAGGAAAAACTAAAGGAACCTGAGATTTTCTGAACTTCTGCATCTCTTCTATAAGTTCTGCAAACAGAGCTGGGGCTGCTTATAGGGATAAAAATAAAATGAAATAAAAAGCTTTGAGCCGCTATTTTTAACATATATATATTTAATAGATGTATACATAATAAAATATATATATATACAGCATCGATTAATGTGTTTTAAGTCAGAATTTTGACTTGTGGTGCTTTTTCTCACTGGTCACTTTTCCTTGCTGGTCCTCTCCTGCAGGTTTTACAAATTGAGATGTTGTGGAAATCCCAGGGTTTTTTTTTTTTTTTTTTTTTTTTTTTTTTTTGAGATTTGAATCCCAGCAGTGGAATGGTGAAATTTTACTTACAGGAAATAAAAATATATCCATTAAATGTAACTTGTTGCCAGTGTTGTCACTGGGAAGTGTTAAATAAAAATATTGTGGAAAAAACTTCCATGGGATTGCAAACAAGCACCAGTTCCTTGGATATTAGCATTTAATAAAATGAAATAATGCTGTGTGGTCCAGAGATAGATGAGTAAAAAAAATGATTCTTGCTCTCTTTTAATCTGAAGAGAGAAGGTGGAGGTACAAGAAAATTCAAAATATTTGGGTGGGGAAGTGAGTTGAGAGTTTGAGTTTGGTTCCCCTCCTGCTCTGCATCATTTCTGTAATAAAATCCCAATTATATTCAAATAGAGAATGAGCACAAAACTGCTTTAATTATTGCTGCAGAAATAATTTCATTTTAGTTTGATGGAGTTCCAAGTCTTGTGCATCCCTGAAAATCCTGCATGAGCAGACCCAGCCTGAGCTCTGTAGTGGGACCCTCTAAAAACTCTTAAAAATCCAATTTTTACCCGGATTAACCCCAAAATGAGGAATTTTGGGTCCCTGAGTGTCACCGGGTGCCCTTTGCCACCTCCTGGTGGTGATTTTTAAATCCATGTTCACGGGAAGGTGAAATCCAGCCCTGCAGATTTGCTTTGCACAGCTCTGGAAATCCCTGCAGGAAACACTTCTGGCTGGAATTTTGTATTTTCTGTGTATAAAAGGTACCCAAAAAGTGCTTTTAATGCCAATATTTATTAATAATTTTGGTCTGGAAAGGAAAGACCTTTACCTGAAAGTGAAACCTGAGGGAGGAGCTGGAAATTTGCTCAGGTTTTTGGTTTTATTGGTTAAATAAAATTTAAAAAAACAGACAAAAATCTCAATAATCATTGAATCCCTTTGCCTTGGCTCTCTTGGGTTGAGGGTGATTTTCATTTGACCCAAAAATTCCTCTTCTGTGTCTGGATTTTGGAAGACTATTTTTAGCATTGCTTTTCAGGATTTTATTATATTATTATATGATTATATTATGTATTGTGGGATTTTTTTTTAAGTATTGATTTCATCTGTGGGTTTTAATGCCTGTACAAATATGTGGGAATGTGGAATTTTAAATTGAATTTAATTCTGTTTTTTTTTTTTTTTTAAAGGGAATGTAAATTTTAAGTGCATTCCCTTAAAAAAAAAACAAAAAAACCCAAAACTTTTCTGCCTGATTGTAGGGCTGTGCTGATGTTGATTTAAAACCTTTTAAAGGTTTTAGGGGCTAAATTGAAGATAAAATGAGATCCTTTGACATGTTTATGTTGCTTTTCTTAATTCCAAAATTACACTTTGGCGAGTGTCAAGAGCAGGTTGCAAGAATTTGTGTGCATTTCTGTCATTATTATCTGTTAGAATTATTATTATTATATATTGTTATTATTATATTCTAGTTATTATTATTATTATTATAAATTATTGTGCTGAGTGTTTCCATCCTCAACGTGTTCATGAGTTAATTCATTCCAAAAATATTAATATTGGACTGCCAACTATTATTATTATTATTATTATTATTATTATTATTATTATTATTATTATTATTATTATTATTATATTAGATTTTCTATAGGGATGGTGGAACTGCTTCACTTTTGGGTTCTTCTGAAATTATTATTTATTTATTTTTAATACAAATATCACTTTTTTTTCTCACCACGTGAGGAAAACTAAGCAAGGTTTAATCCTTGACTGAAAATCCAGGGAATGGTTCTTGGGGAAAGGAGATTTTCCATAGAAATTATGGTTTTGTTAAAGGAGATTTTCCATAGGAATAATGGTTTTCTTAAAGGATGTTTTCCATAGGGATGTGATGTTTTTTTCAATGAGGTTTTCCATAGGGATGTGATTTTTTTGAAGGAGATTTTCCATAGGAATATTTTTTTTTTTCAATGAGGTTTTCCATAGGGATAATGGTTTTTTTCAATGAGGTTTTCCATAGGGATAATGGGTTTTTTTTTAAAGGAAGTTTTCCATAGGGATATATATATTTTTTTTTCAAGGATGTTTTCCATAGGAACAATGGTTTTCTTCAAGGATGTTTTTCACAGGGACAATTTTTGTTGATGCTGTAGCTGCCACTGTCACATTTCCAGTACCTGATTTAATTTCTGAAGGAAGCAAGGTGGAAAATCTGCCATTTCCATCTTGGTAGCTCAGTGATGTCTCAAAGTGTTTATATGTGAAAATTCTGCTTTTTTTTTTCACCCCTTTTATGATTTCACAGGAAAAAAAAAAACTCAATACTTGATACATAAAATCAGACTTCTTATTAAATAACTTAATTGTCAATTCAGTGAGATGGATCTGGAGTCAACCTTTAGGAAGGCTCCTTGTTGGATTAGGGATGTAAATCAAAAATTACCAATATTTGTGTCCCTGAACTGGTATTTTAGCACTCTCACACTGGGAGGTCACTGCTGTATTTTGTTCCACTCACACGTGCTCCAAAGCTTGGATGGGATTCAACCTGTACAAATTATCTTCCTTTCATTCACCTATTTGGTATTTTTGAGGTGTTTTTGAGGGATTTGTTTCATTTTTATATTTATTTTTAATTTCTTTAAGAGGTTTGGGCTGAAATAAAACTATTTTACTCCTGCTTCTTTCTGTAAGCCATGAATTAGAGGTGCTTGTACAGGAGAAAAATTTAAACTTTCTTTACTTTTACAAATGTTGTCTTCTTTCATTCACCTATTTGGTATTTTTAAGGTTTTTTTTGAAGGGGTTTGGGTTGAAATAAAACAATTTTTTTGCTCCTGCAAAAGGAATTGTGAAGGAATTGTGTAAGCCATGAATTAGAGGTGCTCATCCAGGAGAGTGACTTAAATTTGATTTCAGCTGCATCAGCAGTGATGGCTTTGGGGGTGTCTTTGATCTGACCAAGTTTATCAGCAATTAATGAGTGATAATTAATGAAAAGACAATTATTGCAGCTCAGTGTGAGCTGTGCTGGGAACAGGAAGGATTTTTGGATGGAGTTTTGCAGCTGTAGAACTCACGTGGTGATTGCTGCAAAATCAGATTTATCCCTGGCTTCGGGCCAAACATTTTTTTTTTTTTTCCTTTTTGGAAAAAAAAAGAACTGTGGGAATCTCAATTTCCAACCCCTGCCAGTCCTTGGTGAGGTGTTTGTGAGGCATTATCAGCTGAAATTTAATTGAATTAGATTAATTAGTGGCTGTTTTATAGAGCAGTTATCTCGTCGATAAAACAATTGGGATTTGATTGGCAAGGTGCTGATAAAATCACCAACAATTCCATTTTTGAATTTGATTTTGTTGACTTTCAGATCAGTGTAACTCATTCAGAAAGCTCCTGGAAAAAAACCCCAGTGAAAATTTAAAATGCTTTAAAAACAGGGATCATGTGGGAAAATAAAAATTGGAGGAGAAGGTGTGACAAGAGGTGAGAAGCAGAAATTCCAGAAGGAGCAGTTTAGAAATGTTTGATTCATAATCTTTGTGTATTTATCAAAATGAACATTGACATTCTGGGAGTGTAATCCAGATTGTTATCAAACCTCCTCAGGAAAATGCTAATTATGCTTTCATAGACTTTATTAAATTAATAAATATATTCCTATTTTTAATAATAAATTATTAAGTACATTAATATATAAACTGAATGTGGTTTGTGACTGACTGCAGAGCTGGAGGTTGGCTGAGTGTTCAAAATTTTCTTGGGATGTTTTTGGGCTACAAATCCAGCACTGGAAGCAAGGATGGGACAATTTCTTATTCCTTAAAAACTCTGAAATGATGAATTCCTCATTTTTCTTCTGCTGCTTTTTAACAGGAACAGGAAGGTGGTCGATTACTCCCAGTTTCAGGAATCAGATGATGCTGGTAAATAACTTTTTTTTTTTCTTATTCTCATTATTGCCATGCATATTAATCGTTCTGCTTTTAATCCCATCTTCAACTCTGATTCCAAGGAGTTTCTGTTCTTCACAGCCTGAACTGTTAATAAGTATTTGAAAATATAATGACCCTCATATGTTTTTTATTAAACAAACAATGGTGATAGAAATCTTATTATTTAATGCTGGTATTGTTGCAGTGCCTTGAGGCTCTTGGCAGCAATTCCTTCCTTGCTCTCTGTCGTGTTCTGGGGCACAGGCTCCTTGATGCCACTTTGGTTTTGTTTTTTTGGGTTTTTTTTTTCCACAGGAAAAGATGTTTTCTATTTATTTTATGGCTCTAGTTGAGCCCACATTATCAGGCATTTTGGGGAGGGGGTTTGCAGCTAAAAAAAAAAAAAAAAATAGAAGCTGTGTGAAATAACAAAATATTTGTTGCTGGATTACATTTTGAAAAAAATGGAATCTCTGTGAAGTAACATTTCTGGATCTAGTTTGTAAAAAGGAATAATCAGTGAGAATTAACAGCAGATTTCTGGAATGTGTTTTGAGTTCTTAGAAAATAAACTGAGTGCTAAGGTTGCACTGATAAAATGAGATAAAAATGCATAATTCTTAATTATAGGGCTTTTACTCATTAAATCAGGTGTTGTGTGAGAGTTGTAAGGAGTTCTGCTGCAAACACTGTGTGCTGTTAGAATCATATAGAAATTCATCTGGATGTGAATTTCGAATAGCTTTATATAATAATTAAATGTAAAATGACTTCCTGTGTCCCCCTGTGAGCTTTGCTGTGTTTCCCTGGGTGAGATTTGACTGCACAGAACATTTTCATGGTGCTGTTGGCAGGAGAAAAGCTAAAATCAATTCTTTAAAAGCAGCACTTTGCTTCCACCAAAGTTGTTTTTGAAACTTCGTGATATTTTTCTTTTTGATGTGCATGAAGTGATCAGTTTGAGCTGTAGCTGAAGAAAGCAGTTTGCTGGGAATTAATTTGATTTTTTGTTTTTTTATTTATTTTTGTCCTGTCCAGATGATGATTATGGAAGAGATTCAGGTCCCCCATCCAAGAAAATCCGCTCGTCTCCCCGAGAGGCCAAAAACAAGAGGAGATCTGGGAAGAATTCTCAGGAGGACAGGTACAAAGAGCTCTGGGATCATTGCTCTGTGTGTGGGGGGTTCAGTGACACTGGGACACTGAGGTGGGTCCTTCCCTGATGGAGCAGGCAGGGAAATCCCTGGGCCAGGAGAGCTCCATCATTCCAGGAGCTCCAGAGGCTGCTGGAATGGCAGGGATGTGATCCAGGCACCAGGACTGGCAGCTGCTCAATGCTCAGGTGAGTCAGGGCCAGCTCCTGTGCCCTGTGGTGCCAGGGGTGGGTGGCACCGAGGACAGGGACATCTGGAAGGGCCCGTGGCTCTTGGTTCCTCATTTTGAGTGATCCATAAACACAGAACTCTTGTCTGGGAGCTGCTCTGAAAAGTGAAATTTTCCTGTACAATTTCCATTCTGCAGTCTCCAAATAATTGCCATGAGACCCTTGAAATCATTTTTATGTTTTCATGACAGATTTCAGCTTCAGGGATGGAGGTTCTGCCAGCTGGTTCTTGTTCTATCACCCCAAGATCTCTTTTTATTTTCCAGATCAATCAAGTGATCAAATCATTTGAGAAATCTTAAACCAGACATGGTTTAGAGCAACAGGCACAGAATGGAATCTAAGCAGTGACATAAAGAAAAGTGCTGACTAAAAATCTATTCAGGATAAACCTTTATTTCATTTATAGACTGCATATAAACCATCAGAATTGTAATTGGAATGGAAGCCATGTGGATTGTGGGTTGGTGCATGGTTCACCTCGTTATTTCCTCATTATCAGGTTCACCTCATTATTTCCTGCCTGGTTTAAGTTTATCTTAATTCACAGTTTGAACATTATCTTCCCAACCATGATAACTCCACAGACAGCTGAATAATCCTAAAGTACGTCCAGGAAAAGTGAAAATTCTCAGCCTGACATCAGTTTGCTCTTTAAAAAGTTATTTTGCACACAAGAGTGACTGGAGCACTCAGACTTCACCTTTCTCTCATTTGCAGTGAGGATTCAGAAGACAAAGATGTGAAGACTAAGAAAGATGATTCACACTCAGCAGGTAACTGATTGCACTGTGCTGATTGTGTATCTTTAAACTGTGTCTCTTCACACCTGTGAGAGGTGCAGGAGTAGGATTTGAGACAGAAAAAAAATTAATTCTGATTTATTTTAAGTTGGATGCTGCCTCTGCTGCTGTTACTTCCCACCCTGGTTTGGGATAATTTTTTTTTTTTTTTTTGTGTGTAACATGATGATCCTATAAAATTTATCTTCACAAGTGCATAAATCTGTTGATCCCTTCCCTGCAGCTTTTATCCAGAATGATGCAAGAAACTTCACCTTGGTGCCTTTTCCTTGCAGATGAAGATTTTGGCAGTGAAGACGACGACGTAGGAGCTGACGACGGCAAAGCCGACAGCGACTACGAGAGCTCTCAAAAAAGCAAAAAAGGAAAGAAAGCTAAACCAGACAAGAATAAAAGAGCAGCTTCCAAATCCAGGAAAAGGCCTGCAGGTAAACAACAACAAAAAAAAAAAAAAAAAAAAAACAACAAAAAAAAAAAAAAAAAAAAGAAAGAGAGCGGGGGGAAAAAAAAAGTGGTTATTTTGCAGTGAAAAAAAATCTGAAATTCTTTGTTGGGTGGGTGAGGAAGGGGTTGAATTGTCCTCACAATGAGAGTTTGTGGCTGCCCTGCCCCTGCTTTGCCCACGTGCTGCCTCTGTGCTCTCGGACTCAGCAACAATTTGGGACTTTTTTTGCTGCAGAGGACAGCGAGGATGAGAAGGAAGATCACAAAAATGTTCGTCAGCAGCGACAGGCGGCGTCCAAAGCAGCCTCCAAACAGCGCGAGATGCTCATGGATGATGTGGGCAGTGAGGAGGAGGAGCAGGAGGATGATGAGGCACAGTTCCAGGAGAGTGAGTACATGGGGTTGCCAAAAGGGACACACAGGTGGCTTTTTGGCTGGGACACTGAGGATGTTGTAAACTGTGCTCCTCAGTAATTTCGTTTTTATTCTGTGTCTGTCCCAAGTTGGGTTTTCACAGGTGGAATTTGTGTTCCGAGTTTACAGCAGAGATGTGTGTGCTACAAAATTTTTATCTTCACAAAAAGATTGATCCTGTTGATCCTTTCCCTGCAACTTTTATCCAGAATGAGACAAGAAACTTCATCCCAGTGCCTTTTCCTTGCAGATAAAGGGATTTTTTTTTCAGAGATAGGAGTGTGTGTTTTCCAGGGATGTGTGTGTGGTTTTTTGTTTTTGTTTTTTTTCCAAAGATCTCTTTCTTTGTAAGCAGCCCTTATGGATAATTGTAAAATCCTCAATGCTTTTTGCTGCTTTTTGCTGTCCTTGTGGCATTACTGATGTAAAAACCCAGTCAGATTTTGTACCACAGCAGATAAATGAAAGCCCACAAAGTCTCAGAGTCTGTGTCCACAATTTAACTGGCAGGTCTCAGCTGTATCTTTTCTTTCCTTTTTTTTTTATTTTTTTTCCCTAAAAAACTGAAATTTCCTTATGCTTCCAGCAGATTCAGGAAGTGATGAAGACTTCCTCATGGAAGATGATGATGACAGTGACTATGGCAGTTCAAAAAAGAAAAATAAGAAGGTCTCCAAGAAATCCAAGCCAGAGAGGAAAGAAAAGAAAATGCCCAAGCCCAGGCTAAAGGCTACAGGTGAGTCTGAAAATGAAATGAAAGTTTCTCAGTTTAAATAAAATTCAGGTTTTCTTTTTGCTGCAGAAGGCTTGGTAGTAATCTTGGGGTCACAGATATCAACAAAAATGTTGAAGGGCCAAAATGATTTAAAGCAGCAGTGTGGAATAATGAGCTGGCTTTAAAATTCTTCCTTTAGGGGTTGATTTGGTATCTGTGTCTTGATGGTAGAAACTCACAGCATTGAAAACCTTCCCTGCATTCTGATTTCTGTGTCTCACAGCCAAATATTAACAATTTATGGCTTTACTGGGGACTTTGTGGTGTTGTCAGGGTGGGGAAATGTGAACCAAAGGAAAACTTGGATGCATTTCTGCAGGAAATTTCGAATGATAAGAGCAATGTGTGTTGTGGTTTGACAAGAGCCGTGTCCATTTATCATGTCACATCCAGCAATTAGCCAGGACTTGCAATTAAACAGCTTTTAAACCTTGTTAGATTGCTCTTCACCTCAGCTTTGCTAACTGGGAATGCTAAAAACCCAGTGGGTGTGGTGAAACTGCTGCTGAATGACTTGGAAATCCCATTTACTGTGAGTTTTGCTGCCTTTGCTGCTGCTGCTGCTGCTGAATTTTACAAGATTTTTCTTTTTCCAGTGACCCCCAGCCCAGTGAAAGGCAAAGGGAAGGCAGGTCGCCCCACAGCTTCCAAGGCAACAAAAGAAAAGACCCCATCCCCCAAAGAAGAGGATGAAGAGCCTGAAAGTCCCCCAGAAAAGAAAAAATCAGCCAGCCCTCCACCAGAAAAGTCAGGGGATGAGGGATCTGAAGATGAAGCACCCTCTGGTGAAGATTAAAATGGCAGTTGAGGAAAATCTTTGTTTAAAAAAAAAAAAGAGGAAAAAAAAAAAAAAGAAAAAAGGAAAAGAAAACAATACTTAGGGGTAGAACACGGTTTTGGCTGTGGCTTGACTCATGGGCTTTGAATGCTGTCTTTACTTTCAGCTGTTTAATACAGTGTATTCTTTTTTAATAAGAGGAAACCCTTCTACAGTAATATTTTGAAGTCAATGTTCTCTGTTGGCCATTCCGTTCTCCCTCCCCTGCCAAATCTGAAAAGCCATTTGAGACAGATTAACAGACCATTCAATATTTTATTTTTTTTTTTTTTTTTCGAGGGATACTGGCAGTTGTGAAGCAATAAGGTTTGAGACTGATCTGTGGAAACCATACTTAAAAAAAATCCTGAAGTAGAATAGATTTTTTTCCCAGTGCTTGTAAGAGCTGTTTAAAACTATTATTCTGTATTTGGAATATATGGTAAAAAAAAAAAAAATAATGAACCTCTGCTTTAACAGACTTTGAGATGAGTTCAGTCTGAGCAGAAATGTAGTTGATGAAATTGCAATGGAGGAGGATGGAGCACAGGGAGGAATCCTGTGTTTCTTGGATTCAGGCACGTTTTTTCATGGAAAGCAATCAAGAGGAGATGCTCCAGTGTCTTTTGATTTAGAAAAGACCCTCCAGTCAGGATGGGAGATCTTTTGTCTGTGCTGGATAGAAAACTGTTGTGCTGTAGGCAAATTGCAGCCCATTCCAGACAAAATTCAGATATTCAACCTACAGCCCTCCCACATCCATTCACCCTTATTTTATTCCTTCTGTAGAGGGACAAAACAGGGAAGAGAAATAGCAAAAATCACTTCTAAAACTACTTTCCATTAGGTATCATGGAAAATGTGTTTATTATAGATTTTTCCAAGGAAAAAAAAAAAACAAATTAATGGATAATGTAAAATGAAATTGTTCAGCTTTTGGGGTGAGGGGTGTCCTGTTGTGGGTGTGAGCAGAGGGTTCCTGTAGTGCTCTGCTCACCTGAGATCCCCTGAGTCAGGCCTGGGTCTTCCCAAACCTTCCCAAACCTTCCCAAACCTTCCCTCCCCCTGCCCTCAGCAAAGCTCCAGGGTCCCTGTCCCCACCCTGCTCCCTGTGGGATCTGTGGGATCAGCTCCATCCTGTGTGTGGGATCAGCTCCTCACCTTCCCTGTGGGATTTTACTCAATCCCCTCCTGCCTGTGAGATCAGCTACTCAACCTTCCTGTGGGATCTGTTCCCTTCCTGCCTGTGGGATCTTTGGGATCAGCTCCCCTCCTGCCTGTGGGATGTACTCAATCCCCTCCAGCCCTGACTATGGGATCTGTGGGATCTGTTCCCATCCCTGGCTGTGGGATCTGTGGGATCTGTTCCCATCCTGGTTGTGGGATCTGTGGGATCTGTTCCCATCCTGGTTGTGGGATCTGTGGGATCAGCTCCCCCATCCTGGCTGTGGGATCAGCTCCCAGTCCTGCTGGTGTCCTGTGGGATCTGTTCCCATCCTGGCTATGGGATCTGTGGGATCTGTTCCCATCCTGGCTATGGGATCTGTGGGATCTGTTCCCATCCTGGCTATGGGATCTGTGGGATCTGTTCCCATCCTGGCTGTGGGATCTGTGGGATCTGTTCCCATCCCTGGCTATGGGATCTGTGGGATCAGCTCCCCTGTCCCTGCTGGTGTCTGTGGGGTGTGTGTGGGGCACTGGAGCTGGCAGCAGCTGCAGTCAGGGTGTCCCCGACATCCATTTTAATGTGTTTTTATCCAAGCAGCCATATCCTTTCTTCTTTTTTTTTTTTTTTTTTTTTTTTTTTTTTTTTTTTAATTTTAATTTTCTAAACTTCATTGAACTCCACAAACCTTGATTTTTCACACCCTCAAAGTTTTCTGCCACATTTGTTTGGTGGAAACATTGAAAACTGGACCTGCCATTTTTATTTTATTTTTTTTTTTTTCCTTAAACCCTCTGTGCTTGTGTCTGTTGCTCACAACAAACTTTGCATCTTTCTTGTTTTTTCTGGTTTTTATTTCTTTTTTGTCACCCAAGTACCCATTTTGTACCCAGCCTCTGGAAGGTAACATAAGGCAGCTAATTCTGAGTTGGGATTTCTGGTGCATGTGGCAGCAGATCCTGAATCCTGATTGGGATTTTGGAGAGTTCTTAGATGTGATACACTAAATATTGATCAGGAAGGACCCTGAAGGTGCAGGTGGGAATGGAATATTCCTCCAGCAGCTGAGTGATTGTCCTGTGTGATTTCCCTAGCCCTGGATTTTATTGAGGCTGGTAAATTCCTTTACCTTATAAAAATCAAAGTTCTCTCATTGACTCTCATGGAACTACTGTTGCAGTTACAATAAAGATGATGTTGTTTCATTGTAAATCTAATTTTTTTTAATTTTATATTTTAGAATGGTTTTATTTTTTTTTTTTTTTTTTTTTTTTTTTTTTCCAGAACAGCTTCAGGCTGCAGGGAAATCTCAGTGTTGAAAAAAGAAAATGTAATTCCCCTCTCCTCTCCCACACCTCTTCCCACCTGCTGGATTTCTGGGAGAGCAGAAATTCCCTCAACTTCTTGGGTAATTCAGGGAAAATAAACAGCCACATTTTAAAAATAAAAATATTTTGGGGGTAGCAAACACTTGTGCAAATCTGTGATCCCCAGAGCTGTTCCCTGCAGCCCAGACTGTTCCAGGCTCCTTTGGGTTCTTAGGGTTTGGTTTTTTTGGGTTTTTTTTTGGAATTCAATGTACAAGGAGAATTCCAGGGGATCGGTTCTTGGATGTTTTCTGAAGTCTATTTTGTGAATCTCACCTAAAATAGATTTTTTTTTTTTTCTCTAACACGGTTAAGGAGAGTTAAGGCTGTGAAATATCAATTTTCCTGTCGTTTCAGGTTGGTTTTGGATTGTTTTACCCTGGCAGCTTTGGCCCTGTCTTTGACAAAGCTCTTCAGCTTCTCCCACCTTCATTCCTGGTGATTCTTTGAGTGTCTCACAACCCAAACACTGTGAAAATCCCATTTTTTTGGAGGATTTTGGAATTTTTTTCTAAACCTGTTTTGCTGATTGGTGCAAACACTAAGCCCTAATGGTTAGAAATGCAGCAATTTCACATTTTGTACAGACAGGAGAAAATTGTCAAGATGAATTTTCTTATTAGTTTGATTATTTTTGTTGTAACATCAATTTCCAGCAGCAGCAGTCTTCACCTTTTTAAATGCCCACTGGAATTAATTTATATTAAACATTCTGGAAGGAAAACTGGGAAAAATTCATTTCTTGAGGAGCATGAAGGGATTTTGATGGAGCAGAAAATTTCATTCACAGAAAGAGGGGAAGGCTCTGAAAAGATTCTCTGTCCCACAATTGTAATTCTGGAGCTTTGCAGAGAGGTAAAATGAATTTATTCCAAAATTCAATCAGCTCTGCCCTGCTCTTGCTCTTAAAATTTCAGCTCAGAATTTCCATCCTGCCCCTGAACCCACAGCCCCAGCTCTAACATCCTGCCTTGAACTTGACAAAATCTGCCCAAATCTGCAATTCCAGACGGGATTTTGTGCTGAAAATCGTTCGGTTCAGTTCTGGGGAGGGGGTTAAAAACGGGGCAGCTGAGGAGCTTTGAATCATTAATTTGAATTATTAATTTCCTCAAGGCAGAGAGAGTGAGGGGAGAGAAGCAGTGCCACAAATCTGGAATTCCTGGGGTGGTTTTTTTTCCCTTTTTTTTTTTTTTTTTTCCCCTTTTCTTTAATTTTTATTTTTAAATATTCCCTCCACTGATGATCACAAAAGGTACAAGAGGCAGGGAGAGGGAGGGAAGGAATCTGTACCACGCTGGAAGCTTTTGGAGCTGTAGAAAATCGGTGCTTTGCTTTATTTTTTTTTTTTTTTTTAATTTTTTTTTTTTTTTTTGTGAAGTGTTTATTTTTCTACCAGATCCTAGCGTTGAACACACGGTTCCTGAAAGCTACAAAAACTCATGCAGGACTTGGAAATATTTGATGGGA